TATATATATATATATATATATATATATATTTTACATACACATTGAGCTTTGATGATAAATAAATTCTGTCATAGAAAGACTGCAAATGTCTTATCCTACCCATCTGGATTTTATTTATAGTTAAATTACAAAATTAAACACTATGTTTTAGAAAAAAAAACATTTAAATAATCTCAAACATCACCTTTTGATTTATACTTTTCTATTCTGATTTCACCACACAGCGAGATGAACTCTATGCTGGTCTGAATGACATTCATGTTAATACTCTCCCTCTTTATCACATGCTGTTGTATAACGCAGCGTTTAGAGTTTTATTCAGACACACTCTGCCTTAACACCTGTTTACTCTGTGCAAGGTGCTGAAATGGACACTTTAGCCTGTCAGTGGAAAACGTTGGAAACCAGAGATGGCCCCATGGATGCTTAAATGCAGGAGAACAGTAGAAAGCTCAGAAAGCTCCGTTCAGAAGAGAACGGGTCGATTTCACTTCTATATATACACATACGTACAGGTGAGCTGGCTCTTATGAACAAACTGTACCCACAAGATGTACAAGGCAGTAATAAACATTTTGATGTGTGTTTAGTTTCTCCCTTCCTTTTATTTACAAAGCAGTGGACCAATGAAGTGCAATTACTGCATAATGAGCGGCACCATATTGAATTTCAAAATAAAATAAAATAATATAAGTCTGCACTAATACCAATGCTGGTACATCACCATGTTTGTATACTTTAGTGTGTACAGGTACGTGCATTTCTAACCTTTCATCAAGGCCGAGGGCTCCAGCACTACGAGAAGTGAGCTCTGGAAGACCATGCTGACAGTCCGCATCATAAACACACGTCTCATCAGCAGGCCAATACTGAGGACATAAAAGAGAGAAAGTTCAGTTATATTATCTCAAACTCCACAAATATACAATATAATGTAATGCAATGTCATGTAATATACACCACAGTTCAATTTTTTAAGAAATTAATACTATTATTTGTTGGGGACACATTAAATTAATCCAAAGTGAGAAGGAAAGACATTTATAATGTTACAAAAAATTATATTTTCTATTTTATTCTATAATTTTGAGTTTCTATTTTCTATTTATTATTTATTAAAAATCCTGGGGGGGGGAAATGTACCACAAACATATTAAGCAGTTTTCAACAGTGATGATAATAATAATAATAAGAAATATTTCTTGAGCGGGAAATCAGCATATCAGAATGATTTCTGAAGGATCATGTGACACTGAAGACTGGAGTAATGGCTGCAGAAAATTCAGCCTTGCCATCATAGGAATAAATTACATTTTTAAATATATTCAAATAGAAAACAGTTATTATATATTGTAATAATATTTCTCAATATTACTGTTTTTACTAGATTTTTTTCTCAAATAAATGCAGTCTTGGTGAGCATTAGAGATTTCTTACCAACCCCAAAATTATGAATGGTAGTGCAATATAATATAACATCAACAAGACAAAATATATACCACAGCAAACTAAAGGCTATTAATTTACAGATCAGTCATTGCAGGACATTAATGAGGGTCAACCACATAGGACTGCCACACTGAGACAGAAAAACACTCCTGTACACATGCTTACATGCAGTGTGTGTTTGCTTACACACTTGAATCGATTCTCTAATAACAGTTAAGAATCCCTCAGGGGAACTTCCTTCACGACATAATCAATAACGCTACAAGATCCACAGCCACGGGCTGATTAACCCCCCGTTAATTAGTGACCATCACACCCCTCAATTTCTCCCAGCTCCAATCAGAACACCCGGAGGGCCCTGTCAATCAAACACAGGGTCTGGAGTCATGGCTTCTACAGTCTTTCTTTTCACATCTAATATTTTTAATCAGTAATGCATAACAGTTAACATCATTTTACATCATATTCTCTGAAAAGACTACGTGTATTAAAGCTTAAAGTGGTCAGACAGCATGATTAAGAACCAGGCACGAGTTAAGCTCTGGTGACAGGATCTGTTGCATGAAAATTAGTTTAACTTGTCCCTAAGGTTGTAAAAATTTGTCAAAATTGTGTCTTTACATAAACGTCCTTTCCATGTGAATAGACTCTGACGCCTCTGACAGAGAAAGCGAGTGGAAAAAGAGAGAAGGAGATTGCGGGTAAAGGTCAACTGGATTTTAAGAGAAGAGTAAGGAATCGTCTGTCATCTTAAACCAGCCTTTTAGATCTAGATGAACCCAGTCAACAACAGCAGCCGGTCAGACAGAAAGCCAATCTGCCATCATTCTCATGCAAACACCCTCCCTGCATCCACTCAACAACACTCTTTCATATTTCACTCAGATGAGAGAAGAGAGAGAAAGAGAGCTGTAAGAAAGACAGACAGTCTTAAAGAGGAAAACCAGCAAGTTAGAGAGAGAGAAGGGTGCGAGAGATCGAAAACGAGTCTAAAACAGGCGTATCACACGAGCAGTTAGACCCGATAAGATTCGTACTCTCAGATTGCTGATGGCGATCAGTGTATGGGGGTCAGTTTTTGGCCACTCAAGCGTTTCAGATGGGGCTGGGATAAGTGTCCAAATTAGCTTTTAGTGGCCCTGAACAGACAACGGCAGAAACCCAATCTGTGGGAAGCAAGGCCTGAATGCACGACTGTGTCGAATGAACAAGCCCCCTGCGTGTGAAACTTTACATTCCTCCCCATTCACTAACACTGCCTTTAGCATAGAGAGAGAAAGAGAGAGACTAAACGAGAAAAAAAAAGAAAAAAAGATGAAGGAACCGAGAGAGAGGGAGAGGTTACAGAGAAAGGGAAAAAAGAGGGGGAGAAAAGGAGAGGTAAGAAAATTTGAGCAGATATTTAACTCTGATTGTGATTTTACCGAATGTTTTAGTATCTGTCCCACTCACCTGGTATTTGGAAGGCTTGTTCATTTATGCGCAAAATTTATGTACTGCTGAAACAGCGCAAGTTGTGATTGCTCGGATATTTGCTCTGAAGGAAAGTTAGAGACTGTACCTCTTGTAAAATTGATTAAATACTGGGCTAGAGTCTTTGTTTGGCTATATTCAAATTCTCTTTAAAATGAACATTTTGCATTTTCCATTTAGTGATCACAGGGAATAACAGTGATGGGAGAAGTACCTGTGATGCACATGTATATCCTGGTTCAGCTTCTGCGTCGCTTTTGTAGTTTACAGATACCTTAGCTATTCTCAGTGGAGAAAAAAACACTGTTTATTTTTTATAAAAATAATAATAATACCAAACACTACCTTTGAAAGGTTTGGGGTCAGTAAGATTGTTTAAAAACTTTTTTAAACTTTATTTTATGCTCATCAAGACTGAGATGTAAAATTGTGAAATATTGTCATAATTTAAAATAACTATTTTCAATTTTATTATAATTTATTTATTTTAATTTTATACATTTATTATAATTTTATAATAGAACATTCAAGTCATCAGTGTCACATGATCTTTCAGAAATCATTCTAATATGCTGATTTGCTGCTCAATAAATATTTCTTGTTATTATCAATGATGAAAACAGTTGTGCTGCTAATATTTTCAAGAGAACAGCATTTTTTAAATAGAAATCTTTTTTAACATTATAAATGTCTTTACTGTCACTTTAGATCAATTTAATGCATATTTGCTGAATAGAAGTATTAATTTCTTTCAAAAGGAAAAAAAAATTAACTGACCCCAAACTTTTGAACAGTAGCATATATAAACGAAAGAAAAATTATTTGTGGTCAGAATGAAATCAATCTGCGGTCTGGATCAAATTACCTAGATTATGTTTGCATCACCTCACTGACTAATACTTGTTTAGATGGTTAGAGAATTGTAGTTCACAGAGGCAGTAGACAAAGGGTGACGTTACTCTCAGTCTTTTAATAGACCAACATTACATCATTTTAACTAAAGTTTAACTAAAGCGCAGAAGCTCATGTAATGCATTCCAGTGGTTTGTAAAACATGTTGTTTCATGATGCCATAAGGTAAAGCAAACCGGCCTGGAGAAAATAGCACATGTCCAGTATGAAGAGTATCATTTCACTTTAAACTCTGATTCATGACTGGATGTCTGCCCTCAAGAAATAAAGACAGAACCACTGCATATGTCTTTCTCCAAAATCCTCTTCTTCGTGCCTTTCTCTGCACACACTAACAGGTGTGTGGGTCTATAGTCAATATCGCTCGAGGAAGATAAGCGACTTCAGCTGCTCTTGGAACAGTTTAGGCAACCAAACTCTTATCTTTATTAAAAGACATAACTGGTAAAAACCGGTCTCAGGTCAGTAGACAAGGGCAACGTATCAGCAACAAGTATATCTCTATTCAAGCAGGCCAACTTTATGCATCCTGGAGGCCTTTCAGCTCACACCTGAGCCTGTTTTACTCTCAGCTCCCACAAAAGGCTGTGTTTACTTCCATTACTTCAATCTCTCCTTCTATCTCTCACACACACTCTCTATCTCTTTCTCTCTCCTTCTTTCACGCCTGGGGCCGAGATGGGTGGAGAGATATAGTGAGAAAACACTGAGAAAAAGAAAAGAGCCACGTTTCTTTCAGAGAGATGGTGGGCCACAGAAACCGATAAAGCAAGAGGGGGAATTGAAAAAGGTGTAAGGAGAAATCCAAAGAACAAAGTCTTTCGATGCCATTCCTGCAACATTAATGGCAAAGCGTGACTTAGCTGGAAAGGGTGTTGCAGCTAGAACCGATTCAGTTTCACCATCGTTTTATAAGAAGAAAAAAAAACACTCCCTACCTGTACTGAGAGAGCAAGAAGCCCCCGATTGATGAGCCGCAGATGGAAAACGCCATGGCAACCACCCCATTCCACACCCCGAGCTCTCTGGCTGTCATGTGGTGGTCCAGGAGGAAGAGAGGAAACATGGTGATAGCCCCCTGTTCACCTGTAAAATATAGGATTACATCAGCACATACACACACAGTTCAACAATTGTAAAGGCTCTTTTCTCTGAACTTCAGATAGAGACAAAAAAAGACCAAGAAAATTGACCGGATTATCGAAAATGTGCTGGATTCTGATCACATTGAATCAGACTTTTCTCAAAACTGGCTTTAAACTCCTGATAATATCCACACATCACAACACAAACTTAGTCAAAACAAAACACTTGTTATCTGAGAATGGGAAAAAAAAGTGATAACCTGAGCAGAGGCCATGTTTTTCGCACTTTAGTCCTTAAAGGATCAGTGCCTGGGTTGCCTTCCAGTCATTTTTTTTTTCTGAGAGTTTGTCACTTAAAACTCAGACAAAAGTGACAAAAACAAAAGCTGCCAGTGAAAATGCTGCCGTTACATTGCGCCGAGTCCTGCGTCGCTGCATGATAGCGGGTGCACCGAGGCCTTGGTAACCCACCGCCGTGTCTTATTTAACGGCATTGTCATTATTTATGGAGTCTGCCTTCAGTTCGACAGCGAGACAGCCCGCTGACTGACAGCTCTGAGACCGCCGTCAAAAAGAAACTGCGCTTCCGGGGTCCCCGGGATGAAACCGGTGAGAAACAAAAACAGAAATTCAAATCAAAAATCAGACGCTTCTGTCGGAGTTCTGCTACTGTCGCTGACAGCGCCACGTGAGCGCTTCGACATCGCTTTCTTTGTGGGGGATTGAGTCTGACAGTAGAACTAAATTTGTAAAAGATGTTGTAAAGTCTGTAATGTGGTGGCAACAATGAACAATGGGACTCGTTTTTCACATTCAGCACATCTTTTCTTCATATAAGGCAGCTATAGTGTATGCCACCCACCCAGGTCCAATGCGGCGTTAAAGGAATAAGGATGCAGTTTTACATAAGGATGAACACATAAAAACCAGTCACATTCACTTTGCAGTTTGCACACAAAACATTAAAAACTGCCTGTTACTTTGCATAATATGTTTTGACATTAGTCAATTATAGCCTAATCCTTGAGAAAATCTGGGCAAAGTTCCAGCATAGCCATAATTTATTTGAAGACCATAGTAACCACAGGTAAAACAACAGAGACCACATTACCATAGTAAAATCACAAAGGCTTCTAAACTACACTTAAGTATTATATTAATAATAGTATCAGTTTAATATTTTTTAATAAATAATATAATTTTATATAATTAAAAAAACAAAAAATAAGAATTTCCTTGTTTCATATTACTTAAGATTATGGAAAGACAGTATGAATCTGCATTTCCACTAAAATAAAAACCAGAATAAAAATAGTTAAAAATGTATGTAAAGGGAACACTGCAGAACAAACAGAACAGTGTTCATTGTGTCAACATGGTAGTGTAAATGTATACAAAATTCCAAAGATGATCAATGAGCAGTTCAGATGCTGCTGATCATCTCATATGTGCCGTTTGGACATGTGCTTCAGCGTTCTGCCTCAGTCCTTTTTTTTTCTCCTACGCTGCTTCAAACTAATTATTTTTTAAGCAGGGATTGAAAACAAACAACAAGGCTGCTTATTTATGTCTATAAATAATCTCAGAGCAACAATTGTCCATTTCACATGGGATTTCATTAGACATCCACAAAAACACAGAGGAGGAAAGCAGAAGAGGGGAGGCACTGGGAGGAGAAAGGGGAGTGAGAGAGAGTGAGGCAGAGAGAGAGAGTGGGGAGAGATGCTGTATCAGTTCACCTCAGTTAACAACGATAGATAATGGGGAACAGATGAAGACAAAAATGGACAACAGATTCAGGATGAGACGGAACGATTATTCAATTCTCAAAAAGCAAACAAAAACACCATAAGGTAGAGCCAGACCGATATGGGTTTTTTGGGGGCCGATACCGATATTAGGAAGTAAAAAGGGCCGATATCGATATATCGTCCGATATTCTTTGTGTATATTATAGTACAGTATACTATATATAGAATACAGTATATATATAAACAGAATATATATACACAAACATATTTTTTTGCAATGATCACTCAAATATGGTGATCAAACACTTATAATGGCGTGACAAAGATATGTAATGGAGGCAGGGCATTTAAAAATTAACAATAAACTTTATTATCCAAAATGCGTCTGACATCAGTGCAATGAACAGTAAAGTTGAAGTTTATTCATACTTTTCAATTCAATTCCATTCAACTTTATTCTGTTTAAGTTTATTTCACTTAGGAACATTCATTCACGGATTTGCGCTACTTTCTTCACACACAGACGAAACTTAATAGAGAAGTGTGAAGTGTGACATAATATACCTCTGTAAATAAATACAATTTAAATTCACGTCTCACGCACTAATGCCCTTTGAATGAAACGTGTACGTTCCCTTGGAACTGGAATCATGGCGGAATATCATGTGAAGACCACTTACGGTCGAATAAGACAACGCTTGAATGCTGCTGCCTAAACAAGAGACCTCCTTACTGAAGTGAAAGTGTTGGCTGGCGTTACTATCTCGCAAATGCGGCGGCGGATCTCCACCAACTTCGGGGGATCCCTTCAGCTTGAGGAGCCCTCTTGAACGCCACCCTCCACGCGTCGGTAGCCCCCCGGCATCACCAGATCGGTCGGCGCCCGACTGCGAATTTAACCACCCGTAACTCCCGGACCGCGTAGGACATCTACACGGGGGTGGTCTCATTTGAAAGGGGGCCTCGAGAAGTAGACTCGATTCGGCGTTCGAGAGGGTTCCTCGAGCTGAAGGGATCCTCCGAATTTGGAGTGCGCTCAGCTGGACAAACTAAGTAATTACATAATTTACAAGCATTTTATCTGTGTTTTATGTTCTGTAAAAACATTTTCATATCGGTGGCATATTTGCCGATACATCTGCGACAGGCTCATATCGGCCGATAAAATCGGCAAAATGATATATCGGTCGGGCTCTACCATAAAGTATCAGTTATTTTTGTATTTACTGGAGTTCTTCCCTTCCAGTAAGTTGTTAACTGTCAGTGAGTTAAATTTGAGAAACAAATCAGTTTAATTAATGGACAAATCATTGAGATGGGTTTTATAAATTACATCAACCGATTCATTGTAAATATCTAACTCAACATTTCACTCAAATTATAGCAGATTTCTCCATTCTCACAAACCCCCAAACAGCAAGACAGTCAAGAATTTCAGTGAATAATGATTTACTTTTTGATCTTTTCCTCACACTATTATAGAAGGTTTGCAATACAGTGGAATCATATGGAATATTTTTTATAGCATTTTAAAGCTTGACAGCTCCAGTCCTGTTATTTTTATTGCATTAAAAAGAAAGTCCAGGATATTCTCCAAATATTCATCTTTTGTGTTCCACAGAACATAGAAAGCCATACAGCTTTGGAGCAACATGAGGATGCAATGAAACAACACCTCAACTAAACTTCAAAAGTGTGTGAGAGCCAACGAGTGTGAGATGCTGACTAAAACCAGATACAGAATCCCCACAGTCTTCAGCATGGGAACAGCCTGAGGATCCTGGGCCCTTCCCAGTTCATGTAGGTCACTGTGCCGTGTGTATCTGCATCTGTGTGTACTTGAGCAGGTCCCACAACTCCATTGTAAATGCTCCTCAACCAACGACAAGCCCTGTACCAAGTCTCTACGGACCTCTGAGGTTAGAATCCGCAAAGGTCTAGGTTATTCCCTTTACATTCTGGGACACAATGACATAATTGTTTGGATGAAACAAAAGCATCGAGAACTATCACTTGCACCGTTAACTATGTGAATGCGAGCGAAGATACGGTGGTATGGATAGGAAACAGAGACGCAGCCTATTCAAAGTGTAATGTACTGTAAGCTCACATATCTAAACAGAATGCTTTTTAATGTTCACACCCGAGTTACACAATGGTCCAGACAATGGGAAAACAATGTAGGTCAACTAAAAGACATCACATACTTTACTTATCTTCTTTCTTTGGAATTTCTGTGTTCTCCATCACTCTCTACTCACGCGCTTTCTCATCATACCCGATGCCCCCTGCACCCCACCATCTCTCTCGCTCTCTTTCACTCTCTCTCATAGTTGACCATGTGGTGGGTGTTCATTAATTCATCCCCCCTGCAGTCCTCTGCGTTCCCTCTGGAAAATATTTGCCTCCTGCTCGCGTCACCCCTCCATCCCCCCACACGCCCCTCCGTTCCCTGGCCCCTGCTGTGCGGGACAGAGGGAGGGCAGCATCAGGCGATATACATGCATCTATGTGTGTATGAGTGTGTGTTATGTATATGTATATGTATATATATATATATATATATATATAGTTGAAGAAGGAGAGTGAAAGACAGCGAGACAGAGAGCAAAAGTGGCTTTCTACTTCCATAGAGAATCCAACTTTAACCCCCACAAGTACACTTACACACACATTTAAAAATAATATTACATTTTAATAAAACAATTTAACCAGGAAAGTGACTAATTTATCTATACAATGTCACAATAGAGGGGCGGAGGGAACGTTATGAATTTTTGGGAAACCCTGCATTATATTTATTTATTTATTTTGCAAATAATTAACTGTATGAATATAGTCTATTCAGTACACAACTACAAAACAACAGGTGTGTGTCAACTTATTCAACCAATTAGAGGGAAATGTAGATGTACTTTGCGATATCCAAATCATTTAATTCAACCCATCTGATGTCGAATTATGACAAATATCTTACCTAGTTTGTAAGTGAGAACGTAGAACATTGTCCATGGCGTTCCTGGCACAGACAAGAACTTCCTCCACACCTTCCATGGCTGCATCACATCCTTTGACCCTCTCCTTCCTTCTCCCTGTCCCTGCGGAGACTCTCCATCCAACACCGGGGCACCCCACACGAACAGAGCAACACCACCGTACACGCAAGCCAGCAGTGCAAACATCCAGCCCCAGCCTGCAACATCAATCACAGCCAGGAGCCCCCCTCCAGCAAACACAGACCCAGCTTTATACCCCACCACCTGCACAGTGTTTCCTAGACCCAGCTCCCCCTGACCCCTGAGCAGCCGCACAGCCTCCCCATCTGCCGCAATGTCCTGCACTGATGCCAGCACGTTCATAGCGAGCAGGGAGCCCGCTACACCCATGTACTGAACATCAGGTGAGATGGTAGCGCTCACCAAACAGGTGAGGGCTAGACCAGCCACTGTGCCCACTAACCAGCAGCGCTTGGTACAAGTCCGGTCCACCAGAGGGGCCCAGAGTACCTTGAGCACCCAGGGGAAATAGAGGATTTTGGTGAGGCTGATGCGGGTGAGGGAGTGGCCAGCACCACGCAGGTACACCGGGAGCAAAGACGACTGCAGGCCATATGGAATGCCCTGGATGAAGTAAAGGAGACCCAGGAACACCAGTTTGTCGTTCATCATTGAGAAAGGCGGGTTTTGGGAGCCTCAGCTCATGGCTTTACTCTGTAATCAACACAAGAAGAGTGTTGGACATGGACTTGTCAACATAAGTTAACATAATGGTTTCTATTTAAGACATTTCTATTCAAGACATGACAGCACAGGTGAATAAGGTAAACATTTTAACTAACAGACAGCATCATACTTTCCCAGTTGATTGATTACAGTACATTAAAACTAATTAAATATGTACACATTTGCATATATTTCAAGAACAGAAATATGAAGACTGGTTAAAGCCAAGTTTTCAAAATCATCCTTTCATTTTGTTGAAATATACAAATGAAATCGTTATTGAATATTTAATTCTCTATTATTTATATTTTAGTGTCTAGTAGTTTTCAGAATGTAACGTTATATGAAAAATGTCTAATGACATATCTAATGACACTTGCATTAGTTTTATCGGTTATATCTAGCTGTGATATTATTTTATGCCATGAATGAATGACGTGCAATAATGAATGAACCACTGTTTTTGAGATAAGACACTACTGGTAAAACCATGCACTTGTCAATTTAGGGGTTTTGGTCTATTTTGCTCCCATAACATGTCTTCTTTCAAACTAGAAAACATCCAAGATGTATGTGTGTTTATTTTATTACACTTTATCTATTTGCGTCTGCTTTCAAATACGATACATATCTTTAAAAGGCGTTTTCTCAAAATGATGCAGAAATCATGAGAAAGAAATTGTCAGAAATATTCCCTTCAGTAGCACTTCCATACACCAGACTTTCCAGTTTTATTCCTATCAGTTTTTTTTTTTTTTTTAATTGTATTTGTTTTTGGATGTTGACAATATTTCCTGATTCATTGAGTCAAAAAAAAAGTCCCAAATCCCCTCTGTAAAAACCCTTAACTAGTCATAAACTGTCCATTACTGTCACAACATATGCTCGAGGCACTAGAGGGAGACTTACAATTAGGATTAAGAACAACAGAATCTATGTAACGTTATATAGAAATGTACAAATAAGTACAGCAAATACCTTACTGTATTTACAGGTAAACGTCTCCTTCACCCGCTGTGCTCGATGCAGCATAACCTCTATTTTCCAAACCTCGGAACTTCCGCGGGAGCGCTTGACGTAACGAACTCTTTCAACCAATCAACATATAGCTCTCCTGAGCGCTCACAGCCACTAAATCAACAGCGCCACCCGTCATTACAGCGGTACTGCAGCGTAGGGCAGGGCCATTGAGTAAGGAATGTTAAGAAATCGCGCCCTCTCTCTTTCTCAAACTTTATCTCTTCTCCTACCACTCCCATTGTTCTAGCCGAACATGTTTCTGACACACAGTCCAAGTCGTAATTTGTCTTTTGTCATAAATTCTTTACGGTAATAGTTTCTATATACAGCAGATTTTAGTTTATAAACCCTCTTGCATTTTTTTTTTTTTTTTTAATGAGCTATCAAAGGATTTCCTTGATAAATATAAAGGCATCTTTATCCAAAAGAAATATAACTTTTACTTGAATCAAATGGTAATGACACCACAAAATTAAAAGATTTTTGAGGACCAGTTGTGATTCTTCGGATTGCCACACTTTGCAGAACCTTCTGGACTCTGGAGCACCCTTTAAAACTTGAGTTGATTTATAAATTAGAGCCTGCAAAAACAATGCAAGTGTTTGTTTGTTTTGTAACTCGAGTCAGACCTGATTTTCTATCCCTGATTCCAACCAGTACAACTCTTAGTGACTATTTGTGCTTATGTGATCCCCTTCATATCTACGTCATTAAACTCCCATTTTGTGCATGTTTTGGTTTGTTTTTCAGTCAACACGACTTTAAAAATTAATAGATACACCATACCACAACACACCACTTTAGAAGCTTTGCATGAATTTACAAAGACATATACATTTAGTCAAGTTTTTATTTATTAATGTTTTTCATTCTACTACAATTGTTTATATGGGGGTGTATAATTCATATAGCTGGTGGGTCTTCATCTGTATACATTCATTTTTGACACTAATTAATTGCCACACAAGGCTAGCAGGATCGTCTCATAGTCTCCTTTGGTGTCATCCTAAAACGAACAAAACACAATCTTTAACAACTGAATCTATACAGCATAACCCTGATTAATTTGTGTTTATGTATTGAATTATATATATTATATTGAGTATAATGATGATGATGATGATATTTAAAATTTGCTAACTGAGATTTACCTGGATGTCCTGGTAGAGGCTCTTGCCAAACTTATTCTGGTACTCTTGCTTGATTTTGGCCAAGTCAATCTCAGAGCGGCTCACCAATATTCTGGTCAAGATCTTGCCTCTATAACCAGAGCCCTGTGAAAACAAAGTCACACTCAGTGGTTCTTTTAGTTTTTAATTCATATACTGTATATTTATATTTAAAACAGTTGTCATGTCGTTTTAAATTTTAAATGGATCCATTAGATTGTCATTTACCTTTGTTGCCTGATTTAGTTTTTCAACAAAGAATGCGGATTTGTTTCCAGCACATTTCACTGTTGAAAAGATAAGGTCACAGTGATAAGAAAAGATGAAAATATTTATTTTGGAAATGTCATGCAAAAGCCATCTTCTGTTTCATTGCTCAGAGCTTAAAATAGCATTATTGTCATACTGTAAGAAAGTAATTCAAGTCTTAAAAGGTATGGTACATCTAAGAGGATCTGCGGCAATTCAAAGAACATTTTTCAGTGAACTTATTGCATGCCATTCCATTTTAAAATGCAGTATGTAATGCTATGGACAGATATGAAGGTTTAAGTGTCTCACCAACAGCAGTCAAGCAGTTCTCAATATCACCCTTCAACTCCAGATCAATGGCTTTTGCAACATCCGCTTTACTGTACTTGGAGTACAGCTGAAAAACTAAATATAAAGAAAAAAATGACATTATTATCATCATCATCACTAAGGTAGATTTTGAAAACAGGGAGGTGGAGGAAGTCAACCATACCTCTCCTCAGGTGACAAGCATTCCGTGAAGTGAGGATGTCAATGAACACGCCACAGTCTGTGCCTTTTCTTTTCTCTCCTGCCTCATACAAGGCCTACAGGCAGAATCAGAGGTCAAAAGACAAGTACATACAATGACCAACCACATATACACAATACACGTTTAATTACCCTGGCATCTTTGTCAGCCAAGTCCTCTTGCACAACCTTGTCTTCACTCCTGGTAGCCTGTGAATTCAAATAAAAAGTTTAACAACGAGCAAAAGCACTTTGTGCCAATTCAAGTCACAAATCACTCTCCTAGTAAGTTGCAGAATCAGATGTGTTAAAAATCCAAAACATGCAGTAATGGGAGGGGCAGAATTGAGAAACACTATAAGAGCAAAGGCAACCTTGCAGAGAGAAAGCAGGGCATTCCTGAAGTCTCCACTTGTCTCAGACTTGATCTCCGCCTCTAGATCCTTCTTATATTCTAGAAATAGAAGTCATACATTCAATTTTCATATATACTGCATTCACATACCATAAACCACGAGTGTCTCTTGGGGGGCCACTGTCCTGCAGAGTTTAGCTCCAACCCTAATTAAACACACCTAAACCAGCTAAGCAAGATCTTCAGGATTACTAGAAACTTCCAGGCAGGTGTGTTGAAGCACGTTGGGGCTAAAATCTGCAGGCTGTTGGCCCTACAGGAGCGGGAATGGACACTCATGCCATAAACATATTTAAAGGATAACTGGATGATAACTAGCAATATTGTTACCTTGTTTGAAAACCTGTTTAATCTCTCGGATCTCTTTATTGGTCCTGGAGGCCAAAATCTCGACAAGTGTATCTTCATCTGTGCCCATACCCTGAAGAGAAAAAGACTAAGTTATACTACCCATGTCAAATCTTGTGTGTAAGAAGACATGCAGGTCTAGTGGTTGTCTATTAAAATATCCACCAGATGTGGAGTAAAAACATGAAGTTTATCTCTATCCACAGTCTGAAAATAATGTTACCTTCATGGCACCTTTGAGCAGAAAGGAATCATACTGAGCTGGAGTCATCAACAGGCTTAGAACCACTTCTTCCAGCTCACCTTTAAGAGCAGCTTTCAATGCTACATCCAGAGGCTGCACAGAGGAGAAGTGATTTAGGTGAGGGAGGATCTAGACAGCAAAAATGTGTTGATTTCAGGTCCAGTGAATGTGATACCTTGCCGGATGCTTGCTGGTAAGCGGTCTTGATTTGCTGGCGCTGGGCATTGCTCCTGCGTACCAGCGTTTCAATGATTGTGACCTCATCCACACCTGAGAACAAAAACTTCTGTCAACAGAGCAAACAGATGCAGAATGCAAAGATGTAGATGTATTTTATTCATCTTCACTTTTCAAGATTCATATACCAACCTTTTGCCTTAATAGCCTTGTCCAAGACGCCTGCATCCGCAGCTGCATTAAACTGAGCAAAGGGCTTCACTGTGCCCTGCCCATCCTAAAGGCATGAGAGACACTTATGAAAATCCTTTAAAAATAGCCTATGTAAAATTACAAACTGACTTACAGCAGACCAGTCTAAGAAGTCTATTCAAGAAAAAAAATTCAAGAAGCGAATTTTAGGAAGGAAACAGAAATATTGATGCTCTTTCCCTTTAACATGATGAAAGTGGCTAAAATAGGGAGTGGAGTACATTCCTATTGCTGACTCATTCCGTCTGGTGCTGCTCAAACTTTCCAGAAAATTGAAGAAACTTACTGTGATGTCTTGTACTGTGTTGTCTTGCATGCCCTGATAGGCAAGCTGCTCAAGAAAAGCACTGACGAAGGACATTTTGGCACCTGAAACTCAACAGCTAAACCTACAGTAAAATGTTGGAATATGTTAAAACACATACAGTATACCAAAAAACAGAATCCTTATAAAAAAAAGAATTACAGTTTTCAGGAATTAATCTACGTTTTCTAGCAGTTTTAATGAATCTTACAGGACGCACATGATTCACCAAAAGAACAGAACATTAAAGTCTGGCATGCATCAGTCACACATCCAAACACTGAACAATTCACAAAACCAGGATGTGGCATTTTATAGCTCAAAGTGTGCAAAGTTTTTAATAACTTCTTTAAGCAACGCTATTGCACAACTTTGTTGCATAACTTTCATTAGCAAATTTTTTTTTTTTTTCATTTTTTATTCTCATTTGAATCTTATTTTTCAGTAAACAAAAACAACGCTATCATTAATACGTATATATATATAAAAAATAAAATAAAAAAACTGAAAACACTATCGGGAGTTAGACAACGTGTAAGAACGAAGTAAAGAAAATTCCAGTTTCTCACTTACCAAGACCGATTGCACAGCAAGTGAGCAGGAGGAGAGTGTTCAGCTGTATGCTCAGAGAACCACACCTAGTAACATAAGCGTAACTGTTGCGTTAGAGCTGGGCGTCGACACAGTCTGCTGCTTTCCTCCTTCCCAATAGTTAGTCTCTCTCTCTCTCTCTTTTTTTTTTTTTAAAGGTGCATCCAGTCATTTATTTTAAAAATTTAAATTGTTTTTTGATTTTGAAAAATTTGATTTAGTTTTAAATCAAGAACACTGACATCTGTAGCGTAATAAAAGCTTTATTTCGGGTAAAAATATAAAAGTTTTATTTCGCGTCATGGGAGCAGACATATTCACGTGAGATCACATGACCATACTTTAAATTTCTCAAAGGGAATAAATTAATCGTGGCTCATTACAGTAATTGCAAAAATCTTACATTTAAGTCATACTGTATAGAATTAAAAACCCATACGCACTCCATATAGATGAAATATGAAACAAATATTGTTGTTTAGGCAGTGTATGATCACATAGTCCAACTCATTTGAAATGTATCATAATTCAGGGAACTCATGAGGCATAGGCCTAGATTGGCATGGCAGCCATGCATGATTAGTAAACAACAGACAGCCATTGTCGAAAATGTAAAATTCGAAAAATAAATTCAGGGCCAAATTTAATATGTTAAACACCCTTCAGCCATGAATGTATTTGTTCCCAGGAGGAGAGAAAGTAGAAATGCTTTTGCCAAAAGTATGCAATATGAATACTCTGGCTACACACCATCAAGTATGCAAGATGCAGGCAGTTTACGCAATTTTTGCAAGCAATTTATGTGAAGCTTTTTATGGCATTCATTTACCAGCATTGTGTTGAGCAATTTTTTCACCATGGTTCAGTGGATATGATAGCACATGATGATCATGTACTGTATCAGATTGAACAACTGGTTAATTAACAGAATTCGTTAAAAAAGGTAATTGAAGAACAAACAGAGACAAGCAATGCTTCTGAAGTTCCAGTTCTACTTCATTCTTCTATACACACCAACCAAATGATGGCAACGACGAGACAACATATACCTATCAATTCACATTCCTTAGACAAAAGATTGAATGTTTTAAAAAGATACAGTCAGTCATTGCTGTTTTTTTAATGCAGACCTGTCGGGACACGCATGAACGCATGAACTGACCTAACACTGCCCAAACAGATCTTGACATGTTCTCTGCCTTTTAAATTTTTCCAGTATTTCCTAACACCCATACTTGATCATATAAACATCTAGTCTAAACTAGCCTTCTTCTTTATTGGACTTGTACATGCACCTAATATATGGAATTTGTGATGTTCAAACATTTCTGCCTAACATCTGTTAGCGCAACCGGGTATATTAATTTACTAGTTGCTCAATGTGATCTCCATATGTATTAAAGTATGATTTTCAAGATTTGCACAACTCAGCGAGATCACCTGGGTTTATTTCAACAAGTGTAACTCATTTGACAGCTTTAATTTATATTACAAATAATTTTTTTCCACACCACTTAGTAAGCATATTAAAACCCAGTAATAATTCACAGAAAGATTATATTTCTTTTGCCTTCAATATGACCGATGACT